CCCCCTGCGTACCTGGCGCTGGCATAACCTGCTGGTCTCCTTCACCCACTCCATTGTGTCAGGGATATGGGCGCTGCTGTGGTAAGTGAGCGACTAGGGGCGAGAGGTGGCCCGGGGATCCCGTGCGGGCGCCGGGACGGGCTTCCGTGTTACTATTTCCATCACTCACCAGTGGGCCGAGGCTGCGAATCTCACCTGATTCCCTGTTTGGGAGACTACCCAACCAGGGGCGGCTCAGGGAAACTCGAGGCACTGGGGCTTCGGCCAAGCCCCTCCTCGCTCCCATGCCAGCCAATAGCGCGAGCCTGGACTGTCCCGGGACTGGCGGGGGGCCGGGGGACCCGAGGGTCTCTTCGGGTGCCGACTGTGCCGAGGGCCTCCCTCCTTCCTCCTCTCCCAGTTTATGGCAGAGCCCCGAGATGCTGGTGGAGATTGAGACAGCGTGGTCACTCTCTGGCTATTTGCTCGTTTGCTTCTCTGCAGGTAAGTCTTGCCTAGGGAGCCTGAGTCACGTGGGAATACAGGGGAAGAAAGTTAAGTCCCTTACGTGACCTCTCCCTCTGCTCCTCCTCTAGGGTATTTCATTCACGACACGGTGGACATCGTGATCAGTCATCAGGCCAGAGCTTCTTGGGAATACCTCGTTCACCATGTCATGGTAAGTGAGAAAGCAGTGATGTATGTATAGCTGTACTGCTGGCAACCTAGTTGCAAGTCCCCATGTTCTTTTGCACGAGAAGGCCATCTCAACCCGCCCCAGCCGTGTCCTACTTTTCAAGCTGAGGTACCAGTCTTTGTGTTCTTGCTCAACAGACTGGGAATGGCATTCACTGTGCCCAGATCCTGTGGGCAGGGATCAGAATCTAACCTTACAATGAAAAAAAGGATAAATTATTAGTCCAGAAGAATTTGGGGATGGGCTGGTGATTTAGCTCAGGAACATTGCGCCTGCCTCACAAGCAGTCCTGAGTTTGATCCCTGGTATGGAGAGAAAAAAAAAAAAAATTGGGAGAACTTGGTGCAGTCGCAACTACTTGGGAGGCTAAGGAGTCACAATTCAAGGACAGAATGGGTTAACAGTGAGAACTGGTGTAAAAATAAGAGCTAGAGATACATTGTAGTGCTGAGTACCTCTGGGCTTGATCCTTAATACTACAAAAGAGAAAACACTGAGGCTTGCCTGGCCCTCTGGTGCTTTGACACACCCACCAGCTCCCAGGAGCCTTGGCATCTAGGTTTCAAACTTTTTCTCACTTATCCTCTAGGCCATGGGTGCCTTCTTCTCAGGCATCTTTTGGAAGAGGTTTGTTGGTGGAGGTGTCCTGACATTACTGGTGGAAGTGAGCAACATCTTCCTCACCATGCGCATGATGATGAAAATCAACAATGCCCAGGATTTTCTTCTCTACCGGGTCAACAAGTATGTCAACTTGGTCATGTACTTTCTCTTCCGCCTGGCCCCTCAGGCCTACCTCACCAACTTCTTCCTGCAGTATGCAGGCCAAAGGACCCTGGGGACCTTTCTGCTGGCCATACTGCTCATGCTGGATGTGATGATCCTCATCTACTTTTCCCGTCTTCTCCGCTCTGACTTCTGCCCTGACCGCATCCCCAGCCAACAACACAAAGACAAGTTCTTGACTGAGTAGGAGGAAAAGAGCCTGGGACATGTGGCAAGGACAACAAACACACAACAGAGCAGAAGCAGCCACACACATAAACTGGGTCTCTGCCCCAAGCCTGGACATACCAAGGGGCCAGTCTCTACCTTGAGCCACACTCACACTATTGAAAACACTAATGAAAGAACGCTTCTGAAGCCTTAAAATCTTTTCTTGGGTAACCAGTGAGAGAAGCAGACAAACCGGTTAGACATATGTGGGTGTGAGGACAAGGACCCAACACAAACCCAGCCAACCCACACTGACCTGAAATAGATGCTGAAGACGATTCTAAACTTCCAGGGATAAAGGAAGGGGATCCTGTAAAGCTTGTTTTTTTGGCCCAGAGTTGTCCTAGGACAAGTAACCTTCACCTGAGTAATAAATACCTCTTGATAGTTCCTACATGATTACTACCAGGGTTATGAATGAGTATAATGGCTTGAAGGGTTGAGTGTTCCAACTGGGTAAGTGTATCAGGAGTCCTACTCAGAGCTGGAGATGCAGCTTGGTGGTGGGGAGTTTATCCACCATCACCCAAAACTGACATAAAGACAAGCAGCATAAGGCTGGGGATTTCACTCAGTGGTTCTGCGGCTGCTTCACAAGCATAAGGACCCGAGTTTGATCCCCAGTACCAAAAAACAAACAAAAAAAGACAAGAAGCATATATATATAGATAGATGGTGAAAATAAGGTGTATTTAAAATTAGCCAGCTGGACTCAGTTTAGATGATCCCAATCTGAAAAACAAAAAGGAAGCTTTGTTACTGGGGGTGAAATAGGTAGATGAAGCTGGGGTGTTAAGGATTAAAAGCAGAATGACAGACTAGGTGGGCAGAGCTTGTTAAACATTAGAGTGCAGTCAGTCAATTATGACTAATCAGGAAGTCAGGCTTTGGTCACGAACATCATTTGCACCCAGTGGATAGATGTGATATTAGGACTCTGTAGAAAAGGAAGCTTACTTTGTTGGCAACATCCAAAGCATCATAATCGGGAGCCAGTCGAACATAAGCCTTCTTCTCTCCATCAGGCCTAGGTGGAGAAAGAAGCTTTAGCCCCTGCTGCCTCCATCCTACCCGCCTCCCCACACACCCCCATCCTCTGGTGCATCAGCGGTTCCTTTGTTCATGTCATTCTTTTCCAAATAGTGAATTTTCCATCATTTGCACAGAGGAGCCACAGAGCCAGATTCCTTTCATTAGAAATACAAGACACTTGAGACTAAACCCATGTAATCATACTTTACTATAGTGACTACCTCTGCCCAACTCCATCAGCGAAGTCCTAGAGGTAGTTTCCTCAGATCTCCACTTATACAATGATAATTTCACAGCAGACCACTATAGTGTAAATCCTACTTTTGACCTCAAGAGCTGCGTCAGGGAACTTAAAGGCATACATGGAAGTTTTCCGGGATCCCAACTATGACTCTTAACTACTTCTCACGGGGCCCCACTCACCTAATTAGGGTATTGACCTTGGCCACATCAATGTCATAGAGCTTCTTCACAGCTTGTTTGATCTGATGCTTGTTGGCCTTGACATCCACAATAAACACAAGTGTGTTGTTGTCTTCTATCTTCTTCATGGCTGACTCTGTGGTCAGGGGGAACTTGATGATGGCATAGTGGTCAAGCCTGAGGGGAGAACAACGTGGGGTCACCTGGCCTAGGTCTAGTAGAAGGATGGGCTTTTTAGAGCCCAAGGCTAAGAACAGAGGTGCATCAGACAATGGGTACAATCATTTTTGTCAGACTTTGGTCGCCAATCAGTGTCATCAGGTGCACCTTATTCCAAGGAGTGTGAAGTTCCTCCTGGAAGGCAGAACCCTTAAGCATTTGGTTTAATCTGAAGGCGCCTCTCATCCTCTAAATAATCATCTTTCACTCAAACCCTTTCACTTGGTGGAGCTCCATGTTGACAGTTCTCTAGAGGGTGGGTCAAACAATTCTGCCCCCAACGGCTGCTAAAGGGGGGCTGTGATCAACAGTTACCATTTTGTTTGAGACAGGGTCTCACTATAGTTCAGGCAGACCTTGAACTCATAATCTTCCTACCTCAGCCTCTAGAATGGTGGGATTACAGCTATCTTGAACACACTTCAGACAAGCCACTCCCTGTCTAGTTACACTCCTTTCCTGTTGTGAAGGTAGGTTAAGACCCAAACTGTTTATTATACTAAATCCTGGTACAAATTGGGGACATAAGGGAAGTACACTCACCCCTGTATTTAGGAAATATCTTCCACTCACCCACTCAACCTGTTTGAGATTATCTCAAAATAAAGGGGCTGGAGATGCACCTCAGCAGCAGATTACCAGCTTGGCATGTGCAAGGACCTTGGTTCAATCCTTAGTATGCCGCACACACACACAAACCATCCATAGCCAAGGACTGTTTCCTAGGTGCCACAAGCAAGGAACTTAGAACACTCTGTGTGTTTATATATAATATATATTTTGCAGATTGGGACAGTATCTTGCTGTGTTGTCCAGGTTGACCTCCAACAGTGATCCTCCTGCCTCAGTGACCATACTGGGGAAGGGAAGGGAACAGCTTTTTTTTTTTTTTTTCTAAAGAATATGCTGGGTGGGGCGGCATCTCTGTACAACTCCCATACAGCACTCCTGTATAGCACTCGGAGGGTAAAGCAGGAGAAGTGCCCAAAGTTTGAGGCTAGCCTGGGCTATATATGAGTTCAAGGCTAGCCTTAGCTACATAGTGAGACCCTGTCTCAAACAAAAGAAATGTGTATCTCCCCCGCACACTGGGGAACAAACTCAGGGCCTGGCTTATGCTACAGAAGCACTCTCTCACTGAGCCACACTCCCAGTCCCATGGAGCAGCTCTTTAATCCTACTTTATACTCCCCACAAAATACTTTCAAACTGACCATGCTGAATAAATAACCTAACAGCAAACCTGAGCCTGTACGGTGACAATTTTTCTGCCAGTATTAAAAACTCATTACTCTTTTTGGGGGGGTACCAGGGATCGGGAACTTGGATTCTTGAGCTTGCGAGGCAGGCAGCGAGCGGCACCACTGAACTAAATGTCCCCGCCCTAAAAAATTTACTCTTCATCTTAAGTAGGGCAGAAAAGCCGCGTGTAGTGGTGGCACCCGCCTGTTATCTCAGCACTTTAGGCTAAAGCAGGAGGATCACTGGGAGGCCAGCCTGGTCTGCAGTGAGACCCTGTCTCAAAAAAAAGAGAAAAATTCATTCTCATTCCCATTAGAGTAATATGCTAGATATCAATGTATTTTTGAGAAGCATGCAGTAAGGTGGGTTACCAATAAAGAGTATTCAGGGCCAGGGATTTAGCTCAGTGGTTCTGTCGCCTGCCTCACAAGCTCCAAGAGCCCGAGTCGATCCCTGATACCAAAAAATAAAAAAATGTCCAAACATCTTCAAATAGGTGTAGGAGTAGTACTGACTTGTTTCTCCTGGGGGCGCTCTTCCGAGGGTATTTGGGCTGCCGCCGGAGCCGCAGCGTCTTGGGACGGCGGAAGGTGGGTGATGTGCGGATCTTCTTCTTTTTGTGACTGTGGATGCCTTTCAGCACAGCTTTCTTGGCTTTCAAAGCTTTTGCTTTGGCTTCAGCTTTGGGAGGGGCAGGAGCTGGGAAAAAGAAGGAAGGCGCGGGGGTTCAGAAACTGGCTGGTCACTTCCGGCCTCGGTCCAGTAGTAGGTGCCCTTGCCTACACGTGCATCAGTGGTTCCTTTGGAGACATCACATTCTCAGGAGGTTAATTTTTTTTTCCATCACATGCACGATAGAGAAGCAAAGATAACCAATTTTGAGTAAATTCAAGGGTACAAATAACACTAAGGGAAAGATATGTACAGGGCCATTTAACAAAGGAAAATGAGTAATGTTGAGGCCACTGTACGTCCTTACTGATCAGGAGACACACGGGAGCAACAGTCTGGATGTTTTTAATTCCCCAATCAACTGTGTGCCTCTCCAACCCCCTCCACGGAAGCCTAGCCCATGCGGCTTGCCTACGAGACCCACATTCGACACAGTACGCCCCAACCGCGGGGAGTAGCTCCGAAGATTTCTCCAGGGATTGGCCCTGGCACTGTCCTACGAATACGTTCGCTCTCCGGGCAACCCAAGCAAAACCACCGTGGCACCCCCCCACACACACAGCCCCAGCACACACACCTTCCTTCTTCGCTTTCGGCGCCATCTTGGTAAAAAAGGTCTACTGGGCTCATTCCCACAGGCTTATACCGCTAAATCTCACAGAAGGTTCGCGATGCTTTTTTACTGAGATCTGATTGGATAATCTTTAGCGCCACTCCCGCTGGGAACTGTAGTTAGATTAAGTAGTTAACTGTAGTTAGACTAAGCATGCGCCACCTCTTCCGTTCTCAGGCCCCAAAGCTTCTTGGGAGTTGTAGTTTTCGGTTTGTGGGTTTTTTTTGTTTGTTTGTTTGTTAGTTCGTTCGTTTTTGGTATCAGGGATCAAACTCAAGACCTTGTGCTGGCCAGGCAGGTGGCAGAACCACTGAGGTAAATCCCCGGCTTATTTATTTAGTTTGTCAGTTTGTTTTGGGTTTTCTGAGATAGGGTCTCACTATGTAGTTCAGGCTGCCCTTGAGCTCACTGTTTTCCAGGTTAGCCCTCATAGTGATCCTCCTGCCTCAGCCTCCCCAGTGCTGGTATTACAGGCTTTTTTGGTTTTTGGAGACCTGGTCTCACTATGTATTTTAGACCTGTCTTGAACTCACTATGTAATCCAGGCTGAACTCTAACTCTCAGTGATCTTCTTGTCTCATCCTTCTGAGTGCTGAGATTACAAGTTTGTGCAATAGGAAGGGTTTTGTTTTTCCTTTTTCTCTTTTTTTGTACTGGGGATCAAACTCAGGACCTTGTGCTTGAGAGGCAGGCAGTGGCATCACTGAGCTAAATCCCCAGCCCTTTTTGTTTGTATTTTGAGACAAAGTCTCACTATGTAGTTCAGACTGACCTGGAACTATGTAGCCCAGGCTGGTCTTGAACTCACAACGATCCTCCTGCCTCAGCCTCCCTAGTGCTGGGATTACAGGCATGTGCCACCACGCCTGGCTTCCAGCCTTTTTTTTGACAGGGTCTTGCTGTGTAATTCATGCTGGCCTTGAATTTACCATGTAGCCCAAACTGTCCTCAAACTCACAGTGATCCTCCTGACTCAGCCTCAGCCTCTACAATGCTAGGATTATAGGCATGCTCCACCAAGCCTGGCTTGGAGTCGTAGGTAGTTATTTATTTATTTATTTATTTATTTTTTTATTTATTTATTTTTAGGCCCTTGCATTTGTGAGGCAGGCAGCAGAACCACTGAACTAAGTTCCAAGCCGAGTTGTAGTTTTTTAAAAAAATGTTTATTTGTCTAGATCTGTGGATGGTTTATCAGCTGCCTCTTTGAATCTTGCCCCAGGTCCTTCCCACCTTGAACAACTTTAAGTCTCAGGGAAGAGAGGATCTCAAGCTCTAGAACATGGTAACACTGCAAAGGGGGAAAATGCAGTTACACTGAATAGGGGAGGGTGAAGCAAAGTTCTAGAAATATTAGAGCACAATTTGCCCAATTTAATTCCCTCAGACACATCCGTGGAAAACTGAGGTCCAGAGGATATGGTTTAGCAATTACACAGTAATCTGGTGACAGAAAAAAGTCATCTGTGTGTGTGTGTGAGGGAAATATAAAATGGCCGTCTGTTTCTCCATAGTAACTGACCCCCTTATTGGGGATTAAACCTAGGGAATACTGAGCTACATCTCAGCCTTTTATAAAAAATTTTTATTTGACTGGGGTTTTAGTTCAGTGGTTCTACTGCCTGCCTTACAAGTGTTAAAATCCTGAGTTTAATCCCGAGTACCCCCCAAAAAATGTAAAAAAGTTTTAGTTTGAAAGTTAGGCATGGTGGGGCACACCTGTAATCCCAGCTCTTCGGAGATTGAGGCAAGAGGATTGCTTTGAGTTCAAGGCTAGCCTGGGCTACATAGTGTGTTCAAGGCCAGCCTGGATTGCATAGCAAGACCTTGTTTTAAAAAAAAAGAAAAAAGGGCTGGGGATGTAGCTCAGTGGTGCCACTGCCTGCCTTGCAAGCCCAAGATCCCTAGTTTGATCCCCGGTACAAATATATATACAGAGAGAGAGAGAGAGAGAGAGAGAGAGAGCGAGCGCAAAAGAGACAGGATCTTGCTAAGTTGTCCAGGCTAAATTGCTCAAACATTTTTTTTGTTGTTGTTTTAGTACTGGGGATTGAACTCCAGTCCTTGTGCTTGCTAGGCAGGTGCCAGAACCACTGAGCTGCTAAATCCCTGGCCCAGTTGCTCAAACTTTTGATCCTCCTGTGTTAGCCTTCCGAGTATAGCTTGGATTATAGGATATACACCGTGACCAGCTCACTAATACCCTTGAAGAAGTTCTACATTTCAAACACCCATGCACATATTTCTCTAGGACGCACTAGCTCTTCCTCCGAATGATTTTCCCAATCCCCTGCCATGAACCAGTATTTGCTTCCCCTTTCCCAGTCATTTTTGCATCTTCAAATTCAGTTCCTGGCACAGAGCAAATTTCATGATGCTGAGGTTAATTAACCACGCTGTGGGTCTGTGTCTAATTCACATCATCCCCAAACATTGAGTCTTTTATGTCTCTCTGCTTCTGGAGCCAGATGTCCTACTTGATGCGAAACGGGATGCTCTTCTATTCTGCAGGACTCCGCAAAAAGAAAAAAATTGTCCTAGGTTTTTTGTGTGTGTCTGTGTGTGTGTGTGTGTGTGTGTGTGTGTGCGCGCGCGCCTGCGCGCGAGTTCTAATGGAGACTGGAAAACGAATTCCTATACCAGCAAGGAGTCTTCTTGTCCCAGAGCGGTGCCCACCCAAAGGACCGGTTCCTCACTTTGCATGGAGACAGGCAGCTTGGCAGTCAGCTCTCCCACTCCTCCTCGATCTGCACAGCAGCCTGGAAGGAAAAGACACAACATACCGGATGTCTCTCCTCTGTGGGCACGTCGCTCCGATCCCAGCACCCCTTAACACTCCTCCGCCCCCCACCTCCCAGGGTAGAAGGGCGAGCAGAGGCAGACTCTATGAGTCACGTCCCGGGCCTGGAGTGGAGGAGGGAAGCACCGCCTCCCCTAGGGCCCCTTCTCTCCCCGCTTGGCCCTCCCCGCGGGTTCCTACCCGCCAGATGCTGCGCAGCGCTCACCGAGTCTCCATCACCAATTCGGCTGGGTAAGGGTCCCCAAGAAGGCACAGCCTGGGACCCGAGGTTCAGGGCAGAGCGTCTTGGGGGATCCAGAGCTGCACAGGCTCCAGCCTGGGTGGGGGCGCCCACGGAGCGGCGTGAGGCTGGAAGCCGGGGCAGCGCAGTGGGGAAGAGGGCGCCAGATGCTGCGCAGCGCTCACCGAGTCTCCATCACCAATTCGGCTGGGTAAGGGTCCCCAAGAAGGCACAGCCTGGGACCCGAGGTTCAGGGCAGAGCGTCTTGGGGGATCCAGAGCTGCACAGGCTCCAGCCTGGGTGGGGGCGCCCACGGAGCGGCGTGAGGCTGGAAGCCGGGGCAGCGCAGTGGGGAAGAGGGGGAGGCGAGGGCGGGCTGTGCCGCCGGCCCCGCCGGGAGAGGGGCA